AGTATATTTTTCAAACCTAGTCCACATCTCCACCTCCAACGACTAGCTTTGTCAAATGCATTTGCAGTAGCTTTGCAATTGTTTCGATTTATGGCTTGAATAATTTTTGGGAACTGAACTCTCACAACTGGAATGTACAGTTTCTTACTGTCATGACCCAAACCCGCCCCTATGGGGTTTAGCACCGTAATCGGCTAGTAATCCATAATTACCGAAGGCCTGCTAAACAGTAAAGACAGTAATACAGAGTACAGGGGCTGGCGGAAGCCAAAATAGTAATAAAAGATGTCCAATGAGCTGTGACAGTCTGTATGCAAAAAGACTTTTCCGAACATATTCACATCGATAAGCAAAACATATATACACCATATGCACAAACATTCAGGTTATGGACCAAATCCCTAATTAGCACAGTACAGTACAAGTCTAAAACAGTATTGCAGAACAGAAGCAAAAGGGTGAACTGAGACACCCCAAAAAGTCCTGGCTTGGACTGACATGGAACCTCGAAGTGAGGCGCGATGGTTGGCTTGACAAAAATGGAGCTAACCCAACGCTCTTAACTGTGATCTGGTGCTTGGACACCTACATATAAATATGAACAGTGAGTTAAAGCCCAGTGAATAACAGTTGTGTATAGAGGTTAAGAATGAATGTCCTTTCAGTAAATAAACAGTCATATCAGTCACTTAGAAACCATAGCAATCACATGTGGTGCATCCCATAGCAAAACAGTACAGTAGGTCTTAACAGACCGAACAGTCAGTTGATGGCCATCATAACAGTAAACAGTAGTGGTTCCAAACATGGGAACCGACAGAGATCTCTGTGACAGTAGCAGTAACAGTAAATTGCTATGGATGCCACGGTCACAGTTTACAAATAGGACAAACATTCATTCATTAAACAATAACATTTCAGTAAACAGAACAGTTGATCATTTAGAAAATATTCATAATTGAACATATTTTTACAACATTGTTACTCACAGAGCACTGAGCTATAAGCAGCTAATGAGCGTCCTCGGATGCCAACCCTACACAGTTACAGAACGAACACACACTAAGTTACACACTTGGGAATTAACAACTTAGTCCTTATCTTGACTCGGTGTGGTTCTACATCAATAATCTCATTAAGATGCCTTAAACTAGGCCTAGGAATGCCTAGGATGGAAAGAGGATGCAAAGATTCACTTTAAAACACTTTTCAAAATTTTCAGAAAACAGGGGTCTCGCTTGAGCGTGGCTTTCTACGCTCTAGAGTGGACATGCAGACAAAGGATCTCTGCTCGAGCGGACTGCAAACTACATGAAAAGTACTAGATGCATGCAATTCATGCTCGACGGACGCTCGACCTCCGTTCGAGCGTGAGACTCAGGTCCTCGCTCGAGCGTGAACTCTCTCACTCGAGCGGATTGTAAAACACAAGAACTTCTGGGTACATGCATTTCAAGCTCAAGCGCAACTTTCCATGCTCGAGCGGAAGTGCACGACTTAGAGGGTACGCTCGAGCTTGAAGTCCTATTCTCGAGCGTGGGTCCAAAATCTGGAATTTCCAGATTCATCTCCAAGCACAAAACTCAAGCATTTAAGCCTCAAGTTCGATCCTTTTGGGCCAATTTTCTGGCAAAACACTTTAAACCCATAATATAACATGTTTTGAAGATCAATTTGAGAAATCAAAGTCCAATGATGAGTCAATTGAACACCAATTTCAAATAAACTTCAAGAACAAAGCTCAAACACAACATGCATGCATTCAATTAAATTCAAAACTTCAAATACATGGCCAAATAACTCAATCCTTCCAAAAACATGATGAATTCTTGAACTATAATCAAAATATGAACATGCATGTAGCAAATTTCATGGAAAAGACCTCAAAACTCAAGAATGTGTACATACATGTATGAATTCACTCTCAAATTCAACTCTTTAAACCAATTCTTGACTTTAAACTCTAAATTACCATGAACCATGCAAGATACAATTCAAATTCACAAATGAGAGGATGAAATCTCTACCTTAGGTCTTGAATTCAAGGTATGATAGCTTGAATGTGCAATTCTCTTCCAAATCTTCTAAGTTTCAAACCAATCTAGGTGAACTCAACTTTTCTTCCAACTCTCTAGCTCTCTCTCACGTTTTTCTCTAGGAGATGGAGAAATGGTGTAACAAATATGAACAAGGCTCCAAACATGTAATAACAAAGTGGCCCACTCAATGGTAATTTGGTAAATAACTTGAACTAATACAATTTAACATTATTTAATCTAATTTAGTCATACCAAATCAAATTCCAATTAAATCTACCATAAAATCACATAAATTCTAATTAACACAAAATACCAATCAATTTCAGATTCGGCCGCCGATAAGGCCTTCAATTCGCAATTCGAAATTAAAAACACGAACAGATCAATCTATTGATAAACAGTAGAATGCAATTAAGATAACACACTTATGCAATAAATTCAGAATTTCAGTCTGATCAATTACTTATCATGTTCAGTCACAGTTAGCAGTAATCAGAGGTGAGGGTTGTCACACTTACCCAGTTCCTTACACTTAGTTAAAGCAGCTTTTACCTTTTGATGCAACTTTGGATTGGATTTAATATACTCAATCGTGAAGTTTAAGAAAACGAAATGAGACTTAGCCCTTGTAAATTTGCATTTTTGCTTCGATGGTCTGAGTTTATAATTGAGAGACAAAGCTCAGTATTTGGATCTGCCTCGTAAGTTCGTAACATGTTTATGTTAGTAGATCAATCGCAACCAAAATTTGAAACATGGTCAAAACAAAGATGAATGAAAGAAATGATAAAATCTTCATGATTAGGCTATAGAGAAGAGAAGATGGTTTGATGGATCTTAGTCACGCAAAGGAGTCAGCTCTTCTTATGTATAACTCAACTTTTGTCTCAATTTACAACCAAACTTTACTCATTATATCTTGAGGTTAATTTGAGGATCTTGCTTTTAGAAAAGCAACTCCATTTAGATAATGTTTGCCACAAGAAAGTGATATAAGCAAATAACTGCACAGGTGTTACCCTTTGCAACGTAAGCTTTCTGTAATATTACCATTCCAAATTCCTACTAATTTAACGCAATTCTCTATTTTACAAAATAGTTCAATAAAATTAATAGTATTGCTACCAAACTATGTGATTGTTGTTTTGTGAAATCGTGTTATAAATAATATAAAATTATATTTAGAAAATATAACTAAATTTTCCCTTTCTTCTATTTTTTCCTTCTGGCTTCTATAAATAATAGATTGGCAACAAACAATTAACAAATGGTTTCTAGGGCGTTGCTTGACATTGTCGCAAGTTTCTTGTTTTTTGTTTTCATAAAAGAGAAGTTTTCTGTTTTTTTTTTTTCTTGGGTGAAAAACTTCTTTGGTGAGTTGCCGCAACTAGTTTCATGTTCTTCTCTTTTTTGGACCTCAAATGTTACAAGTCTAAGCATTGAAAATATGTATTTTTTCAGCTCATTTTCAAATGGGGCCCGTTAAAGATTTGTATAATCTCACAATTCACATGAGTCCTACCCGAAGTGATCATGATTGTGTTTGATCTTGACGTGTATTGCTTACATGTATGGTCAGGTGACAAAAATTGAGTTCGTGTTTGATCTTGATGCGGATATGGCATTGTTAATTGCTGGTGAGACAGTGGAACAGCTTGATCTGCCAAATGAAGATGTGACTTTGATTGCTGAGTTAATCGATAACTTGATTGTCAAAACGGTACCTTGTTGGATGCCTTCGTTTGTGAGATTTTGTAAAATGTTCATATGAGGATTTTTTTTGTTTCTATCTATTCAGTCATATTTTTTAGAAAAATATTGAACGATCAATTAATACATTGTTATCTCTAATTTGATAAGTTTACTTCAACATTATGTTGAATAATGACAAACAAACATTTTAGTTCAGTAGCTACATCCAATATGTATAAGAAAACATTGAAGGCAATCAAAGACAACAACCAATGTTCAATCAGATAGTTTGGCTTTTGATATGTATAAAAAGAGGCAGAGTATATAATAGATTTTGGGAGCTTTCACATTTGCAATTTCATGAATATTCACCACCAGCCTGCAACCAGTAGCATTACATATCTAATTTTAAACAGCATTTTACATCCCCACACTTCATTGATGGATATGCATGCTGGGGTAGTGGAAGCATGAATGGAAAAATATGAAAGAGTTGGCTTATTTTTCCTACGAAGGAAAATATCATAAATGCGAGCGTGCCAGCAAGGATTGAAAAATCCTTACAGATTAAATTCAAGCCAATTATCAAGCGATTGTGTTGACGGTTCTTTTGCCTCAACGAAGAGGACTTCAAGATTGCCAAAGTGTCCACTTTGTCCTCCCACTCATCCACTTTGTCCTCCCACTCATCCACTTTGTCCTCCCACTCATCCACTTTGTCCTCCCACTCATCCACTTTGTCCTCCCACTCATCCACTTTGTCCTCCCACTCATCCACTTTGTCCTCCCACTCATCCACTTTGTCCTCCCACTCATCCACTTTGTCCTCCCACTCATCCACTTTGTCCTCCCACTCATCCACTTTGTCCTCCCACTCATCCACTTTGTCCTCCCACTCATCCACTTTGTCCTCCCACTCATCCACTTTGTCCTCCCACTCATCCACTTTGTCCTCCCACTCATCCACTTTGTCCTCCCACTCATCCACTTTGTCCTTCATATTCTCCATTATCTTTATAACTTCTTTTAACTTCCAAATGAATAAGAGGATGCCACGTGTCCTGCAATTATATAAATAATAAATAATAATAAAAATTGCAGATTTATGGTGTTAACAGAAAGGGATGAGAATAAAAATTGCAAAAGGCAGAGTTTATATACTTATTCAGATGAACAAAGACTTGCTGATAACCATTACATGACTAAATCAAAATCTAGAAAATAGCGCAGAACTTACAGAGCAGCTGCTGTTAAAACAGATCAAGTAATTCAACGGCCTCTAGAGACGAATGGCTCTGTGATTGTTACTGATGGAACAAAAATTGGTGCCACATCCTGTCCATTTGTGGCTTCACGGAAATCCCGAGACTTAATTATATCACTCACGTTATCAGGTAGTTGAGCTTCACCTTCCAAGTATTTTACCACATCAGACATGCTTGGCCTAGCTGCACCCACAGCATGTGAGCAAAGCAACCCCAGCTTCAACACCAACTCAGCTTCCTCAACAACATACTCAGTTCCTAGACATTGATCAATGGCCTCAAGAATGTTTCCCCTTTCCAAGCACTCAAGCACCCAATCTATCAAAATTATTTTCTTGGGAGAAGCCTGGTGTTCCACCGGCCTTCTACCGCATACAACCTCTAGCATAAATGTCCCAAATGCAAACAGATCAGTGCTTGTATTTGCTTTTCCAGTACAAGCCAACTCAAGTGCAATATAGCCAAGAGTACCGGCTACATGGGAGGTTTGAGGATCGGTTCCATGGTCACAAAATTTGGCAAGCCCAAAATCCCCTAATCTTGCATTGAAGTTGTTGTCTATCAAAACATTGCTGGCCTTGATATCTCTATGAATGATAACCTGTACCCATTGTTGGTGCAAATAGAAGAGGCCTGATGCTACGTCTTTGATGATCTTAAATCTTTGCATCCAAATTAGCATCCCCTTGGGTTGGCCATAAAGAAACTTGTCAAGACTTCCATTGGGCATGAAATCATAAACCAAGAAGAGTTCTTGCTTATGCCGACAATAGCCAAGGAGGCGGACTAAGTTTAGGTGGCGCAGCCGGCCTATGGTTGCAATCTCTGCTACAAATTCCCTCATTCCTTGTCTCGAATCATGGGCAACTCTTTTGACAGCAACCTGTATATTCGACGTTGGTAGCACACCCCGGTACACCCTACCAAAGCCTCCCCTGCCAAGAAGTTCTCTCTCTTTGAAACCCTTTGTCACCATGGATAGAATCTTATGACTGAATTTGTGAGGGCCGTACTGGTACTCCCAATCCTCCAGCTCTTTTGTGAACTTTTTCTTCCTCGTGATTAGCAGAGCACCAAAGGTGAGGGCCAGGAGTACAAGAAGTCCTATGAAGGGAAAAACAATTGCCAATGCCAACATTATCTTTTTATTTTCTTTCACTTGTGGTGACCCGGGGATCTTGGGAAGGCGAGACAGGTTGATTGGTTCTGCTTGACCATTCATCTTAAAACTCCAACCTAGTATGTAATGAAATGAGGTAGGTAAACCTGTGGAGGTTGAAAAGCCTACATACATGTAGTCATGCAGGACTGGTGAAAGATCTTGCGTCAAGGACAAGAGTGGGAGTGTCACGACCCGAACCCGCCCCTATGGGTTAAGGACGTAACCGACCAGTAATCCTGAGATTACCTACGGCCTCAAACCAAATTAGACATAACTCGACAGAGTAAAGGGGCGAAACGGAAGCAATAATCAAAAACTTTGTCCATAGACCCGTGCTTATATGCACTACAAAACAAACCATACTCATATACGTTAATAACCCATAACAAGTACAGTATCACAAAATCCTTTACAGACAGGATCATCCAAACTGAGTCAACCCATATCAAAACTATATACAAATGTACACAAAGTCCTTGCCAACACGACAAACTATAAATACATGACAAAATGGCAAGGATGGGTCTCGTACGTGAGACACCAGGCTGACTCTCCAAAATCTCATGTTGTTCCTGGCAGACTTCGCTGGGACTAGGTTTGGAGTTCCCTCGGCTCACCTACAAACACATGAATGAGCGTGAGCGATAGCCCAGTGAATAATATCGAATACATAAATTACATAAGCAATATGAAGAACAACATGCTCCGAACGGCCTTGGGCCCAATGCATATTTCTGCTTAACATATATACACTTATACAAAATTCAGATTAAATGACTATAGTCCCAAACATACTGGCCTTTGGCCCAATCAGATTTCCATTCATGTCAAAACGGCCTTCGGCCCATTCATCTATGTCAGAACGGCCTTCGGCCCATTCATTTACGTCAAAACGGCCTTCGGCCCATACATTCGTGTCATAACGACCTTAGGTCCATTCATTTATGTCAAAACGGCCTTCGGCCCACTCATTCATGTCAAAACGACCTTCGGTCCACTCATTCCTATCAAAACGACCTTCGGTCCATTCATTTCTATCAAAACGACCTTCGGTCCATTCATTCTTATCAAAACGACCTTCGGTCCATTCATTTTTATCAAAACGACCTTCGGTCCATTCATTTCTATCAAAACGACCTCAGGTCCATTCATTTTTATCAAAATGACCTCTGGTCCATTCATTTTTATCAAAACGACTTCTAGTCCATTCATTTTTATCAAAACGACCTTAGGTCCAGTTACTTTCATGTCAGACTTTTGTCCACAATCCCAATCAGCAATTCGTAAAGCTTATAAGGGAATAAATAATTGGACATTCACAATTATTCGAATATCGATATTACTTACAGTGATCGGCTTGTGGATTCGCCCTGGAGCTTGACTCTACACATTTCATGAACACAAAAGGGGTCACTAACAGTTCAATCCGTTCTTTGATTCACATATTCTTCTTTAGGCTTTATTCTTATCTCATTAACTCATTTACAATGCTTAACATATGCCTAAGAGTGCTTACAAGTGAAAGAGAACGGAAAACGAAACACAGAACGAGCATACAAAATTTCAGAGAACAGGTGTGTAGACGTCCCCGAACGTCCCGGGATGGTTAGCTCCCGTTCTATTCATTTGGGGTCACTACAGCTCAGGACTCTCAAATTGTCACGGTTCTAAGTCTGAACCAAAGAGTCCAAATCCGGCAAATCGTTTTGAGAAAAACAGATTTTTGAAAGAAGTGCCAAACATGGACTGCTTTGCCAGATATAGAGTCGCCACCTAAATATTTTATTTTGGGGAAATTTAGGAAACCCTGAGTCGTTTGCCTAAGGCCACGTGTCTGTCATCACCAAAGTTGCCTCGGCTCGGGAACTTGGGTACGATTGGGGAAGGTCACTTCGTGAGCACCCCCGCTCGCCTGATCAAAGATCGGCCTCTACTAACCATGATATCAAGTTTTGAAAATATTGTGTGTTCTTATTCCGGTTATTAGCCTAGGTTTACTATGTGATGCGCACAGCATAGAAGTATAGACTGGATCGCCTGAATTGGAACAAAACATTTCCTGTTTGTTTTTTGAAAGATGGTTTGCTACTTGCAAGTAGGCTTAAAATGCAGATTTTGCCACCCTCAGGTGGGCTTAAGAAAAGATGGTTTTGCCACTATCTAGTGGGCTTAAAACTCACAGTCAATGATTTGTTCCAATCCAAATGACCCAACCTTCACCCACAGGCATTCAGGCAGATATATCACATAAGCAAATAGCCTCATGGTAAGCATGCTATTCATGGCAGTCACTCACATGCATGCAAGGATGCTAAAGCATAAAACTTACCGAGTACTCCAAGCCAAAAAAGAAGCTAATTAGAAATCCATGCATGATCCTAATTATACAGAAGTGCCTAATGCAACACATGCAAAATGCAACTATAGCAGGCTCGGCTATTCTAAACATGGCATATGAAATGCTACAGCTAACATGTATTCAACTTGGAATTGAAAATACAATGCAGTTAGTATGATGCGCCGAGCCCGGTGCATGCAAAACAGATGAATGATGCAAACATGCTGTCATACTATATGCTAATTGAAACATGTCCTAATCTAACCATCATAAGCTGGTAAATAAAAGGAAGAAAGACGTGGGGTTGGAAGACATACAACACACACACGCACACTTATTACAGTTGTGCCCTTGCGCAGAGGGTCCGAATAAATAATACAATCCGAATAATACAGTCCAAATAATACAGTCCAAATATATACAAATTCCTAATTAATTTACAAATTAACTAAGGAAAAAGATAAACTGGCATGCAAGTCAGGGACTGCCTTGACCATTCTTTAGATGATGGATGATGCATGTCTAGGCTGCCTTGCGCGGAAATCCACTGGGATACCCCAATTAGCCTCTGTTTCACAATTGTTCTTGGAAAGCGCGCCAAGCTCCGGAAGGTTGCTAATTCTTGATTTGCTGCAACAGAGAGCAGGAAAGGGGCATAGCAATGTATTTTCACAAATGTATGCATGCCTCGATCCTCGTGCCACCAATCACGCATCTCGATGCATGATGGCCGAGGAGTCGAATTGTGCAACTCAATATAGGATGAATGCACATGAAAACAAAACTAAAACCTAACTCCATCATGGATAATCCGGAGTGTCGGTGACTGGGGAATTGAGACACGTTCCGTCACTTGGAGTACGAAACGTACTTCATTTCCCGTGCTCGGGCTAACTCCTATCCCAAGCACGATGCAATATGCATGATATGCATGAAACGCAACTAAGATACAACCTAACATACACAATGCTATGAAATGGCATACACAATGCGCTAACATGTAACCTAGCATACACAATGCTATGAAATGAAATGGCATACACAATGCACAATGGACTTACACCAATATGAGTGGACCTCAGCCACACTCACATAAGAGGCCATCAGGTGAAAACAAGACAACTCGAAATGCGTGCACGCGTGCACGCAAACCGAGGACCGACCCTCAGGCACCGAAATGCCACTCTAATGAGATATGGCAAAGACATGGAATATGATATGCAAACATGCAAAAATCAGTAGCAAAATGAGGGGGAAAACAGCCCCGAAACAAGGCGAAATGACATCCGATGCATGGAATTTCTCCCGAAATGCAAAACTAGGTACATGAAATGGCTTACAGCTATACAAAGCATGCATAATTGGTACATGGAATGAAAATAAATAAGCAAGGAAGCCCAAAAATAATCATTTTTACAGTTCAAATCATGGCCAAACAACAAACACAGATAGGGCAAAACTAGCGTGCAAAAATGGCCCTAAATGTGAGATAATGAAGCAAGTGGTAGATGCAAAGCCCAAAAAGAAAAAGGGTCTTCTACAACACTGAAGAGGGACCAAAAATATGGCTACTTACAGTTTATGGTAACCTCCAAAACAATATACAAGTATGCTCAAAACGCCATGCAAGATAGGGCCCAAAAGAGGTCAAAACACAAAGTATACAAAACATTCATCAAACAGCCAAAGACCCTTAATGAAACATGAATATGGAGTCAAAATAAGACTGTTTTCAGTTCTGTAAAATGACCAAAAATAGAAGCATAATAGGCTAATAGATCATGCAAAAATGGGGACCAAAGAGGGGTATAATGACAAGTGGCACATGGAGGTACCAAACAGTGATGAGCCCTTCTTCAATGTTGAATAAGGGCTCAAAATAAGCTCACTTACAGTTTACATCATGCTCCAAAACAGATCACACACAGGCCAAAAATACTATGCAAGATTATGGCATACAAGAGGGATAATGAAGCAAGTGCAAGATAGGGACCTCAAATGACAAAAGTCCCTTAATGAAACATGAAATAGAGATCAAATAAAGGGTACTTTCAGTTTTGTCCGGAGCTCAAAACAGCAAGAAAACTAGCTAGAAAAATGTTGCAAAATTAAGCTTAAAAAGAGGGAATTGATGCTCACCCTTGAAGACCAAACTTTGGTTGCTTCTTGGCTTGAGAATTGGTGCCTCCTAGCTGCTGGAAAGCTCCTCAAGCTGCTGGAAATGGAAGTGGTGGAGTGGTGCTATGGTTTGATGAAGAAATGAGGTAGGGTTTTGGTGTTTCTTCAAGGAAATGAGGGAGATGGAGGGAGATATGTATATCCAAGCTCAAGGCAATTCTTCTAACCCCTTTGATCAATGCTGGAGGCCAGGTATATAGACCAAAGAGGAGGGAAAAGGAGGGAAAGAAAATGGGGGGAAAACAAGCCAAGTTTCCCCCCAAAAAAGGTCCCCTCCGGATATAGGTTTTTGGGAGGAAAAAGTGTACAACTGTAACAAACACAACCTGAGGATCATGGCCGGCCACTTTTTGGAGATGTAGGTGGCCGGCCGGCCACCCCCCATGGCCGGCCGGCCAAGGGTCAAAAGGGTCAAGGTGAATTAGTGGCCGGCCACCACAAATTGCTGTTCTCCCAGGTTCCCTCATCATAACCCTGTGGTTCAAAATTGCAAACTGTAAAACAGGAGAGAGAATAGGCCATTTTTAGGAAGGGTTCAAAAGGGTCAGGTTGAATTAGTGGCCGGCCACCAACTTTTGGTGTCCTCCCATGTGTGTACAACACAAATATGTGGGTTAGGATTGAAGAAAGTGACCCTAGGGTGGTCAACATTGGCTTGGAAGTGAAAAAAACGGGTGTCGGAGGGCGCCGGAGGATATATAACTGGTTGCTAGAACAATTGCTAGCCTCCCACCCTTCTACGGCCTTCCTGGTGATGAAACAGAGGTACCTGCCAAAAATGAACGAAAACCAATGCAAAACGAATGTTCGGGGGCCAAAACGCGCAGTTCGGGGCCCCGAAAACTGCCTGTTAAGCACCGAAAGTGACACTCGACCGTGAAGTGGGTCTCTCAGACTTCAGTGTCCCTTAAAAGGGAGTAAATAAGATGTACGCCAGAAATCGGGGCAATAGGAGGTGGTTAAGCGGTCCCGAACCGAGGCACACGGCCTGACAGCTCCGAAGACCAAGAACCGGGCTCCGAAATGGGCAAAATGGTCTACAGCCACAAAATGTAGCCCACGGCCACTGAGAGATGGTCTACAGGACCTCTCCCTCCCCTCAGGAAAAGAAACAGAGAAAATCGAGTCTGGTTCGCAAACCGAGGTAAGGCACAGAAGAGGGTTCGGAAATCCGGAAGCAGGGCTCACGGCCGCGACTCTGAGACTTCTGAACGAGCACAACATGCAACATCACCAAGCGCTCAATCGGTGATGTCTGAGTCTTAAGGTCGGTCAAAAATGGGGTGTCTACAAGGTGTAATGATCCCAAGACATGTGTCATATTTATCAGTAATTAATTATGTGTTTATGCGAATTAATTGAAGAATATCTGTTTGAATTGGAAAAATATCTGTTAGAACTATAACTTTGGGACCGAAATTGACGATCGTAATGGGTTCAAAAAACGAAATTGAGCACGCCTATGTGATACCGGGAATTTTTAGAACCATTTGGGGCGATAAATTGAAGACTGAATTTCGTCTGATTCGTTAGGCCATGTTTGGCTCAAAGTTTGGCACAATTGTTTATAAATGATATATAGATAAGTATAAGGGCCTTTGTTGACTCATTGACTCAAAAATAATAAAAGAAAAATCTAGAAAGAGAGAGAGAGAGAGAGAGAGAGAGAGAGAGAGAGAGAGAGAGAGAAGAATTCGTGGAGGGGAGAACCAAGGGAGGAAGAAGAGTAAAGAAATGGGAAATCAAGCTATCTTCTTCATTTAAACAATCAAGGTAAGAATTCCTCTCTAATTTCTTGAAATAAGGTTGATTCATGCATGACCTCATGGTAAATAAGTGGATTGAAGAAGAAATATGTTTAATTTGAGCATGTATGGCATAAATTGATGATTTATGTTTATATTTGGCATTCTTGAGGAAGAACCTCCATGGATGGCATTCTTGAGGAAGAACCTCCATGGATATGAAGAAATGAAGCTTTTACATGAATAGTTATGATTCTTCACCTCAATTCATGGTTTGATCTTGTACATGATGCATGTGGGTTTTGTTGAGAAGTTGTAAGGTCTAAATCAAGTGGTTTTCAAGTGTTTTGGGGCTTGGGTTTCATCACTTTGAAGTTGTTTTGGCAAAGGAGAAATTGAAGCTTGAGAAGAGTCCAGAATTTCAGATTTTCGCGTGGTTCGCTCGAGCGGAGGGATTCCCGCTCGAGCGTGAAAATCAGCCTCCCAGCAGTTTTGGAAAATTGTGCAGTCCGCTCGAGCGGACAAAGTGGCGCTCGAGCGGGGGACTTATTTCAGGAAATTTTGAGAAGTTGAATTACATGATTTTCACATGTCATTTGCATCATTTAGCATCTCATAATCATGAAATAGAGTAAAGAAAGGATAAAATGGCATGAATTAAGTGAGTTAATGATAATGTGTATTGAAGAAATGTGTTCTAATGTTAATAATTGTAGGTCAAGAGGCGAAGACCGTGCAATCGGTTTTGGAAACCCACTGTGAGTAACATTTCTGTAAAGATATGTTAGTATGATCTATGTTTAAAAGTGCTACGTTATGCTATGGTTTTGAAATGATAAATGTTTTCTGTGAACGAATGTCCAGTTTGCGAATCTAGTATGGCATCCATAGATAGTCCTAAGTGGACCAGTTTATGAGATCTCGGTATGTGTTTAATCGGTGTCCGGGACCGGTTACTCTAGTCGTTGGACGACAAATGTTATGTTCTATGGAGTATGCCATTATGTATGTTCTGATATGAGATGATTATGTTTATGAATGATTTATTTTATAGATATATGAAATGTGGAATTCGTTCACTACCCCTTTACCTTAATGTTACTTGCTGAGCTTTAGCTCATTGTTTGTATATATGTATTTATAGGTGAGCACTCTGGGAGTCAAGCCTAGGCGGAGTCCGAGCCGAGCCGCCGTTTTGAAGCCTACCCGATGTTTTGGTGCCTCCGAGTTGGGGCTAGGCCTAGAAGGCCATTAGGAAGCTTGGTTTTGGTTGTACGTGTGGCGTGAGCCTATGTTTTGTATGATTTGTACATGAATTTTGATTATATGTGATGTAATGTAGTGGGTAAATTAACATTTTTGGCATATAATGTATGTTCATATAAATGCACAGCTCTTTGGACTATTAGTGTTTTGTTTTCGCTTTCCCAAGCCCCGGTTATGTATGTTTTGTACAGAAAGGCCTGTGGTAATCTAGGATTACTGGCCGGTTACGATGCCAACCTTCTCGGGGCGTGTTTGGGTCGTGACAACAGGGTCCCCGCTCGAGCGTCAACTTCCCCACTCGAGCGGACCCTTAAGGCTTGCAAAAGTACTGGTTGCATGAAAAATACGCTCGAGCGTGGAATAGAGAGCTCGAGCGGAAGGCCTGCCTACAAAAACTCCCCGCTCGAGCGTGAGCTATCCCGCTCGAGCGTATATCCAACTCTGCAAAAAGTGCTGGGAGCACGATTTTCCCGCTCGAGCGGCTCTTCCCCCGCTCGAGCGGACATAAAAAATCTGAGTTTTCCAGATTGAGTTCTTGAGCTCCAATTCGAATTTCAACCAACAAAACATGCATGTTATGGCTCAAATCTCAAATATAGTTATGCTAACATGCCACCAATACAAAATTACAACATTAGGAAGCTCAATTTCTTACATCATTTACATGCATGCCTCAAATTAATCCAAATTCATCACCAACATATCAAGTTTCAACATGCAGAGCTTGCTCTTTCATGAGCTACTCTTGCATGTAAGAAGTACACATTATTCACAACTTATTTGGTGAAGAAGTGGTCAAACCCATGGATTTCATTCAAACTTCAATATAGATTGCACAAAGTAAGCTCAAACATAGAAATCTATAACAATTCTTTACATGCATGCTTCTATTAGCTTGAAATTCAACATATACAACTCAATCCCTTCACATTCAAACTAATTCATGCTCTTGGTCATCTATTAGACTTGATTTCACAAGATGATGACTAAAAAGGCATGAATTACTCACCAAGGAGTTTAATCTTCACAATCTATGGCAATCCTTGAGCTTAACCTCCAAAATTCCAAGCTTTAAGCCAACCCTCAATCTCCTATTCTCTCTCTTCTTCCAACCGGCCCTCTCTTCTCTTCTTTGAGTTTGTTATCAGTCAAAATGAGGCTAGGGAGGGAGAGATTGAGTGTTTAAAGCTTGACAACAAAACCCACTAAGGCCAAGATTATAATATTAAAGTAGTTGGGCTTTATTTCATCAATTTAATCGGTTTAATCTAATCCGAATCAATTTTCAATTAAATTTCACCGAAGGCTCTAAAAATTATGCCAATCACAATGGCGTAATCAATCTCGGGTTTTGTGGCCGATAGGGCCCTCAATTTAATTCCCAAAGTAGTTTACTCAAACAGATATTCCTACAGTGAACAGATAGAATTGCAAAATCACATATATTCACATCATGGCACATAAAATCATGTTGAACACATAATCATATTTAAATTAAGGACCAATTAGCATATTACGGGACAGGGGTATCACAGGGAGGTCAGGCTTGGGTACATTAATTGGAGAAAGGGTAACGTTAAGTTGCTTCTCTACTCCATTATATTCCACACAAACCTGCATTGGGTCACCACTTTTGAGGTTTAGATCTTTAAAGGTATCATTTTCACGTGTAGGAAAGTAACCTGCACTAGCAGACTTGTTTGATTGCAAGCTGTTAATATCGATGCCAACATGGTTGTCATCTATGTCCTCGAATTCGAGGTCTTGGTAGGTGTCTAGCTTAACAGCAACAATATGATTTGAACTAAGCCTAGTGTTGGTATTATTGAAGATCCCAATATATTGGGAAGGTAGAGCTCCTTGGAGCTCTTTGAAAGGTGAAACAACAAAGGCCAATCCATGTTCATGGCCACCAAGTCTTGGGTACTCCGGTACAATTGCAAAAATGAAAGTGGTAGAGAAGGAGATAACACTACCGTCGTTTGTGGAGTTCTTGAATTGGAGGGGAAAGTTGTAGAAAGCGTGACCGATCTCTCGCATTGTAGTATTGGTTAGCGTGAATAGGCCATTGGAATCAAGCTTTACACTTCCACCCAGCTTCAGTGCGTATCCATTAAACATGAAATGATCCAGAGGACTACTGGAATATACAAGTTTCACAAGGATAAATAACCCCACGATCATGGTCATGTAGGTCATGACTAGCATTTCTTCCAAATGTTACATAAAACTGAACTATTGCCTCCTTTGGTAGTCTTTTAGGTCCTCATGACTTGCTTATCTTAAAAATGCAAACTAAAATACTGTCTCCTTGAAAGTCTTTTTTTATTAAGTCATGACTAGCTTATCTTTATCCACACACATTTTCCACGCCATGGAAGCCTTTAAGCCTCGTCGCAGCTCATGAGGAAACTTCCGCTACCATTCTAGTCTAAACGTGGGTTCACATTTTTCTTTTTTCAACAAGTGTGTCCCGAGGATTCTAAAATGGTTAGTCTTCTTGGGGCTTTGCTTCTTTTCTCTCTCCAACTACTCACTAATATGTTCAATCTGTTCTTTCACACAATTAAATGGAATCAAGGAACACCACATACTTGAGAGTCAGAAATACATATTATTTTTCATGCAACATGCCAAGTATTTGTTAGACGCACAAAAAAAAAAAAACACTAGTATAACATGCCGAGTATTCGACGAAATTCTCAAATCAAATAGATATAGACTATTTAACATCTTTAACCAGAATTGAAAAAAATAAAAATAAAAAATGAAGAGAAGATGTGCTGTATTGGAATTGACATGTGCTTCATGGTGTGAATAAAGGGATAGAGAACTTTTGGTTCTTCCATTTTCTCTTTCACACTTTTTTCTCTCTTTTTTTTTCATTGGGCTAGCTGACTTATGATAGCTATGCTTCAATCACACCACCACCATCCATGTGATATCCTCATTAAAGAAATAAAGAACTTGCACTACAACAAAAACATACTTTAGTGGCACTACACTAGTGGCATATTTTTAGAAAATGCCACAAAAAATGATATTTAGTGGCACGTTTTGAAAAATGCCACAAAACAACAAACATAAAAGGCTCTAGTGACATTTCAATGAACAAGTGTCACAAAACTACAACAAAAACATACTTTAGTGGCACTACACTAGTGGCATATTTTTAGAAAATGCCACAAAAATGATATTTAGTGGCAAATTTTTGAAAAATGCCACAAAATGACAAACATAAAAGGCTCTAGTGACATTTCAATGAACAAGTGTCACAACACTACAACAAAAACATACTTCAGTGGCACTACACTAGTGGTATATTTTTAGAAAATGCCACAAAAAATGATATTTAGTGGCACATTTTTGAAAAATGCCACAAAACGACAAACATAAAAGGCTCTAGTGACATTTCAATGAACAAGTGTCACAAAACTACAACAAAAACATACTTCAGTGGCACTACACTAGTGGTATATTTTTAGAAAATGCCACAAAAAATGATATTTAGTGGCACATTTTTGAAAAATGCCACAAAACAACAAACATAAAAGGCTCTAGTGACATTTCAATGAACAAGTGTCACAAAACTATGCAATCCATTGGACATTCTTTTGTATTATTTCTATTGTTCCAATCGTCGCACATGCTATAGATTCACCCTTTAAAAAGTTTGAATATGTAATGCATGTGGACTTTTTTGTAAATCTCTTACATGAATAAAAAAATAAAAAGTAATTTAGAAATTTGGTTAACCAAATTGGAATTGTTTAATGGTTGGGATCATCAACTATTTTGTGTCAATTACTTGGGGGTGTTACAATGACTCCCTCAACTATCATCAAATATCATTTTACCCCTTATATATATAAACTCTTATATTTTGACCCTTTTAATTATGAAAATTGTACAAACATACTCCTCTTGTAATGTTGATGAAGAGTGAAAGTGACACATTTTCATAATTAAAAATATACAGATTCATAAATGAAGATTAAGTGATATTCGCTAATAATTGAGATGATCTTAATGTAGATAAGCCAATTTTATTGCTAAAAAAATGTTCATTTTTACTATCTTGGATGTGAAATTTCATTGTCTAAATACATGTATTATGATGAAATTTTGTCCTTTTCTTTTTGTCAAATTTCATATTCATAAAAAATCTTGTGTGATAGAGAACATTCCAACAATATAAATTTTATTAAAAAAAAATGAGATCTAAATCAAAAGTTGTTAAATATTTTAAGTTTTGAAATCATTTAAAAACTAAAACAATTGTCTTTGGTCAAGCATTAGATTTTCAAGGGGCAATTTAAGTAGCAAATATGTGGACGCCCCATTGCTACCTTCTAGTTTAATAAAATAATTATGTTTATACATTTATTTTATATTAATATGGATGTATGTACTATATAAATAATATATGTTGCATATATAATCATGTGGTGGTATAGAGGTGTAGTGGGAAGAGTGTGGTGTATAAGGTTTATGGTGCGGAAGGTTGGCAGTTCGAGTCTCCGCAAGAGCGGATCAAATTGTTCTACAACGAATTATCGTCATGAATGGCACTTGATAGCGTCACGAATAGTGCCTACCATGACATTAAAGTGTCACTGAAAGGTTTTAGTCTTGATGGTGTAATGACACTTACAAGTGTCACTAACTCTTTTTTTAATGGCGCTTGATAGTGCCACAAATAATATCTACCATGACATTAAAATGTCATTGAAAGTTTTCAGCCATGATGGTGCAGTGGCACTTGCAAGTATCTACCGTGGCACCGATAGAAGTGGCACTTGTTCAAAATGCCACAAGACCAAAAAATGTCATTAGAAGAATAGTTTTGTGGCACTTTCAAATGTCATTAAATTAAGAAAATGTTGTAGTGTTGGGTCATTTTCATTCTATTTTTCAAACAATGGCACATACTGATTATTTATTTATAAAAATGATATACAAGTCTATTTTTTAAATCTATTTTTTAGGATTAAAAATATATAAGGAAAATGATTGATTAATAATAAGAGAAGATAGGAGAGAGTTTTCTTACATAGATAATTGGATGTCATTTACTTTTGAGATTAGAATAGTAATCAGTCTGTTTGGTTTGAGTTTTTTGAATTAAGTTTTTTGAAAACTCAGTTTTTTGATTTTCGTGTTTTTTTGTTTTTAGTGAATATTTTTAAAATTTTAAATATGTTTTTTTACTTTTTTATATGCACCTTACTTAGATGTATCTAGAAAGTAAAAAATTTGTGAAAAAATATTTTAAAAATTTAATAAATACATAAAATATAAAAAATGTATTGAATTCTCGTATTTTTTTTGTATTTTTGGTATTTAGTAAATTTTTAAAAGGTTTTTTCACAAATTTTTTACTTTTTAGGTATATTTATGTTAAGTATATCTAAAAAGTAAAAAAAAATTGCTTAAAATATTAAAAAATTTAGTAAAAATAAAAAAATACAAAAAATAAAAAAATAAAATTTTCTGAATTTTTTTTTTAAAAAACACAACCAAGCATGATGAATGCTTTTTATTTATTTATCAAAAAAATATTCGTGTTGTCACACATTACATTCTTCATTGGGTTTCCGTCTTTACTCACCTCTTTCCCCTCCTTTTATTTTTTCTTTACTGGGAAGGCAGGCTGCACCAACTCTAATAAAGTACAGCATAACGTGGTGGTTGTGTCAGTGGTACCAGTTTGGTCTATTTTCTTAAATTATAAAAATATTTTTGCTTTCTATTCAAAAAAACAAAACAAAAAAAAAAGAAAAAAAAAAGAAAAGAAAAACAAACATGATCGATAAGTCATTGTCGGTGGTGGTAGCTTGAGGTACCCTACAGTGTTAGTGGCCAGAGGGCTATCAGAAGTTGGCTAGAGATTACGGGTAGTGACTGGAATCAATATTGAGATAGTTTAAGGAGTTATGCCGGACAGTTGTAAAGAAGCAATACATATTAAATTAGTAGACGTGACACACACGTAACTTATGACGTGGTGTTGAACGTTGATGACAGCATATAACATTGTGCGCTAGGGGGCGACTTATGAGAAAGTGCACCAAGGGGCGACTTAGGCAATGCGTCAATAAACGGCTTAGGTGATGCGCCACATGGGGCAGCTTGGGTTGTTCACCACAAGGGGGCTTGGATTGTGCACCAGGGGACAGCTTGGGTGGTGCACCACAGGTATATTACTATGTTCACCATGATATATGTATAATACCCCCCTCACACTCAAATATGGTTGAAGATAGAAATCTATTTAAGGTTGAAATAGAGAAAAAATGGAGAGACAATGTTAAAAAAATTAATAATAAGAAGAAGAATATATATAGGTGATGTGGGTGGTGAAAAAAAAAAGTTGGTGAAAAAGGAAAAAAAGAAAATAAAATAAAAGCAAAGAAAAATAAATAAATAATAAATATGTAAGACTTTTTAAAGGGACGTGGGGTGGAGTGCAGAATAATAATAATAAAAAAATTTTAAAAAAAAAGAAGATCGCATTGGTGTATGGCAAAAAGAGAAAAGTGAGAGTAAAAAAACAAAAACCAAGATTCAAGTTTGAAATAAAACAAGCGAAAAGAAAAGAAAAGAAAAAATTATGCTTTGAAGAGAGCTAAAAACCGAGGCGACGGTGGAAAAAGCTATGTAGATCGACAGCTGACAAAGGAGGAGATGGTGGCTAAGAGTGGAGTCAACAGATAAGAAGACAATGGCCAAAAAGAAGCTGGGGGATATAACACCAAGGATCCTCTAGAGTGAAATTTCCCTAAAGTTTCCTAGAGTATTACATTGTGTGGTTGAGATTTACTGGCAAGTCACATCAGAAAAATTGATGTGACTTGCCAGTAAATCTCAACCACACAATGTAGCACTCTATGAAACTTTAGGAAAAAATCACTCTAGAAGATCCTTGCTCGGGGATATAAGGCAATGATTGGAAAGTTTTATCATTGTAAAGAAAATATGGCAGCGGATTGGATTGGATTGGATTGGATTGTCCAATGGGCAGATGTGACAAAGTTACCGTCCGCCAAGAAGGCAAAGAATATCAAGAGTTTAACCTATAGCTCTGATATGATGTTACAGTATCTAAGAGAGAGAGAGAGGGGAGGGAGAGAGAGAAAGAAAGAGAGATTATATTATGTTTATATTCAATATTGTGTTGAATAATTAATGTAACAATATATATAAAATTCTTTATATATATATATATATATGAGGAGAAAAATTTAAATATAATAATTCTAAATATGATAATAAATATAATATAATATATATGATAAATAAAATATATAATTATTATATTTAACACTGTGATTCAAAATTCCATAGAACCTTGGTTCATGGCACCAAATGAATACATTTACCACCAC